AGATACTTAAATGATAATAGAGAATAACTTAGTAAATAGATATTTTTGTTTAAAAATATAAATATATATATACACATTTAAGAGCAGTTAATTTGAGAGGGTGCTAAAAAGTCATCATGACCCTCTCAAAATCACTATTTCAAGGATCAAAAATCTGAATAGTGATTTTGTGGAAGTGGGTTTGCCTACAAACTTTATTTTACAGTTTGAACATTATTTTCTAATTTAAAAGAAAAACATTTTTTATGAAATGAGTAATTTGATACTTTCAAGTTTCCTTTTAATGGCAGTTTGAAAATGTAAAGCTATTTAAAAAATATTTTCCATATGTCATATTTTATTTTCCTGTAATTTGATTTCATTGCTTAATTTCTAGAAAATCCTGATCAACTCAAATTTAGATTTTCAAGATGTTATTATTGATGTTTTTATTGTCATAGGCAAATAAAAATAATTATTGGAAAATTTATACTATTTATTATCTGAAGCCAATCCATTGAAGACCTGAACTGTTAAAAAAGCCAGCTTGTTTTGCTTCAACAGACTTCATTTTCATGTTTAAAAAAAAGAAATCAACACCCTTTATTTCTAGTGTGCTTTGCAGATTCATAAATTGTTCTCGTCAAAAGCAGCTTCTATCCATTACAGGGCAAATCAAGCAGCAAACACCTGAATCAATCTTCAAAAAAAGCTTCTTTTTTTTTTCTTATCTTTAAACCTACAATGCTTGCTTTATATTAGTGAATTTTTAATGACTCACATATTTTAAATGTTTTGCTTGAATTTTTATCACAAATCATGTTTTAAATATTTTATTTCACAATACTCTAACACATCATATAATGATTAACATTGATTTAAAGGTTATTTCTTTCTCAAAACTCAAAGTATTAAAAAAACACAACCTTTTGCTTATACTCTGCAAAGTTACTTTTTAAAAAAAAAAAATTTTTTAATCTGGCTTTATTTCTTTACTATAAATGTTATTTTTAATGTGTAAACATGTTTAAGTTGCTATCCCTGTTTTTTTTTTATTAAGTTGAAAAATTCTACAGGGCATAATTTTTCTTTAGTAGGAATTCTGAGTCTACCCTAGTTGTTATTAATTTCACTGTTTGAGAAAAATAATAACTGGGGATAGCAAACAAAGTTAAAGAATTTTTTTATTTTTTTTAACTTGCTCTGCAATTATTGAAAAATCATGATTAGGTATGGCAAAAAAATTACTTTAAAACCTTTCCAAGAAGTGTTCTTTCATTGTTAAGTAGACGCAGCTATAGAAAATGGTTTCACTTAGATGCTTGATCTTGATCCATGGGATACATGTCAAAGCCAATATTTCCAAATTTATTTCATATTTTAGTTTTTGATGTGAATTAATCCAACTGATTTGATATTTCTATTAATGATCATGTTTCCAGGGCATGAAATGCAAGTTGAAAGTTTCTAAGATTGTCATTACTGAATGCTTGAAGTTAAACTTTTCTGAGAAAAGTAGATGATTCTTAGGTGCCTAATACGGGGTGGGGACATTTTAATAATCAGGTAGGGTATCAGAACTTTTCAGTATGCAATAAATTGGGGATCTTAATAAAAGTAGAATCAGAAAATCATTTAAAGAGCCAAAAAGTGAAAATGTGATGATTGTAAGAACAATCATCACATTTTCACTGGGCTGGGGTGTAAGGATGAAAAATTTCCTAAATAAATACCCCTGTCCATGAGGCACCTAGAAGTAAGGGAAAATTCATAATAGTTTCTTTTTTTCTTTTTTAAAAAAGAAAAAAGAACTCTCACACTACAATTTCTATATCTGACAATGGCAGAATCTCCCCCAAAATGAAAATATATCTGATTGATATAATTGGCATCAAAGATTGTGAGGACAACATTTGCAAAATAAACTTAATTTAGCTCAATAGGTTAACCTATAAAATGTAATATACATCCATTAATAAAAGAAAAATATAATATTGGAAGCATGAACTCAAAGATTTGTTTTTAAAGAATTTTCTTTAAATTATGAATGTAGACTAACTTTAAAATTACTCTTTTCTTAGATATATCTAGTAAAATATACAATTCTATGAAGTAATACATGATAATATCAATTGTATTAAATCCCCAAAGAAGATTGACAAACAGCTTTCCATTAGAAATACTTATGATGGGCACCAGTTGGGCAAACTGGGGTCAATTATAAATTATAGACATAGTATAGGATAAGTTTAAGAGAATTGTGAAATGTAATTACAATAAAATGAATTAATTTTCTGGGTCTGAACTTGTAAATTAACAAGGCTTAAATGAGAAAATTGGACCTATTGACCCTAGATTAATTCTCGATCGGGGTGAAGAATTCACCTGATCATTCTACAATCTCTCATTGAGAAGTCATCAAAACCTTTCCTATGATTCTGAATATTTCCCATATGCAAATCAACTTCTAATCTGACACTTGAAAGAAACCTGAACCATCCCCCCCCAAAAAAAAGCAGTCGAAGTAGAGATAGAGAATTATCCAAGAATCAGTTTGCATTCCACAATTGAAGAGAGAGAAATTCCAATCTCAGAAAATCTACTGTCGTCTGACTAGCCATTCTCTCAGCCAGATGTTTTACACTGCATGTCTTGGAAGAACTCTGATTGATGTTACCTTTGGATGATAATGAACCCACCTTATAAAAGTCAAATACTTGTGTATAGAATAGAGCGAAGAGAAGTGGCAATTCGTGAACAATTAATATCCTGTAAGAAAGCCTTAGGGAATAATAAAAAAGGGGGGGGGTTTAAAAAATTTAACAAAGGTAAGCACATGAGTTTGCATATTTTGGTTATTATTATTATACATAAACTGCTAAGCATTCAGATTTGATTCAACTTCAAAATAGTGAAAAAAGAATAAATTACTAGGCCTTTTTAGTAATATATATATATATATATATATATATATATATATATAAGTACACACACACACACACAAAATAGGGAAACAATTTGACTAACATCAAAGTATACTCAGATCAATAATCACAATGTGAGTGAGTAGTTCTCTGGTTAAATTCAACACACAGCCCAAAGCAACCCACTAGAAAGAGATTGGCATATTAACCTTGCCCAACCCAGAGAAGATAGCAAGGTTTAAAAAAGGCAATTAAGTTTCAAGGCTAAGTTCTATGTGTGTATATATATATATATATATATATATATATATATATATATATATATATATATATCTCAACAGCAAAAAAGGAACTAGTTAAAAAGGAATAAATCTTTCAAATGTGAGAAAAATGCTGGAAAAGTTCTTGCCCAACCAAGAAGGAATATAACTATTGCTATAAAAACTTACATATTTAAGATAAGAGGAAAATAGACAAATAGGAAGAAAAGATGTCAACTTAAATAATTCGAAATGGGAAAAAAAAAAGAAAAATCTCTAGGATCAGTCAAACCTTGAAGAGAGAACAAGAACCAGTCATCACACGCACAATTTGTATTGCCATCTTTTCTTCATTTTTGTCTATTTTCCTCTCATCTTAATGACTGTTTTTACAGCAATGGTTCAATCTTGTAACCTCAAAGGAATTAAAAAAAAAAAAATGGCAGATTTTGGAAATTGAGTCAAACCGAGAACTTTTCAGCATTTCCTCTTATGTGTATTTGATAGTGAAAAAAATGGAAATGTTAATTATATAACCAATACTTGAGAAGTAATGGAAATACCTGATTTAGAAGAATTATAATAGCAGTTTGCCACCCATCAGCTTAATATTGGTTATAAGCAAAAGACTCTCCTCAAATTGTAATGATTCTGTAAGACTGAACAAATATGTCAAAAATACATTCCTCTTCCTCTTGCCCCTTCAAGATATAAGATGATCATGACTCTCCATGGATTCCTTTTTATCTATTATCTGTAAATTGTATTTTACCTTTTGGGAATGATGATAGAGTAGTTTCCCCATTGCTTTCTATATGGCTTGGAATTCAGTTTCCCTTCTTTTAGACCAATTGCCACCCAATGCTAGAGAGCCCAGTGTATACTACCTTTTAACACAAATGTGAGTGGGCCTGGGATATGAGATGAATACATTCCTTTCCCAAGGGTGTTGTTACAAAAATGAACACCACAGACTAGCCCTGTTACATGGCCTGCATATCCAAAATCCATTACAGGCTTCAGAAGCACGTAAACAAAACATAGTTTGAGGTCCCTGACAATATAATAAATAGAATATAAAATTGGAACAAATGAAATTTTATCTTCCACAGATTTTTTATTTTTACAAAGCAGTACGAGTCCATTTCACAAAACTTCTTTTTATGCTGCAATATTGGACACAGTGAAAAGTGTCCTTTCATCTCTGATTATTATAAAGTATTAGAAGCAACCATTTATTTATCTCTTGTAAAACCATTAATTTTATTTTAGCTTCAAGTGTCACTCTCTCTCAAAATGCTATCATTGCTGATTACCAAAGATTGCTGGAATTCATCTACCCCACCCTACAAAATCTACATTTTTGTTATCAGTGTTGCAACAATGATTTCCATGAGTTTTAGTAAAATTCAATGTATGGCATGTTATATAAAATGAAAGTTTGTTTTTTTCCCCCCTTTTCCTTACATATTATATTACCAATCTTCAACTGAATTTTCTTTGTGCATCAATTAAAAAGTATATATATATATATATTTATTTTTTTTTAACACTGCATTTGTAACCTCATAGCAGATCTTTTGGCTAACAGTTCAATGTATTGACTCTAAACCCATGTAATATAGTATCATTTAAACATTGACACTTTTTATTCCCCCTCCCCCTCTTCATTTCACACTTTTTTATTATATACTGTTGTAAAGCAGAAAATGTCAACTATGTATATTTGCATAATTTTTCTTTTTGGTTTTGAACTTTTTTTTCTTTTCTTTTTTTTTTTTTTAACACTATTTCATCACTTTTTCAACTAAATTTTCCACTTTCTCTTGTTCTCCAGATGGATAAGGTTGATGAAGACATGAAAAAACTGTTTGAATCTGTTGGTTACACATCTGGTGAAAATATTGACAAAGATACTGTGGATTTCATCTATGACTTTGTTGAAAAATATGGAGGCATTGACGCTGTTAAGAAAGAGATGGCTAACCGTGAGAGTAAGTTTCTCAGTCTTTCCACACAACCAATTGTAATTTTGAATTTATAGGTTTTAATTGTTTCCCCCTTTACAGAAAGTTATTAGAAAATAAAAGTTATAAAAATGAATTAACTACAGAAATGAATTAAAGGCAAATTGTAACTAAAATTTTAATTTTTAATGAAAAATGTCCATTAATATTTAGATTATAAAATTGCATAACAATATTCAGAGTAAAATCCTCATTAACTTTTGATGGAGTAAGTGTAAGTCTTGTCTGAATTTTAGATGAAGTAGTCATTATTCTTTAACCTTTTCTCTTCCATCTTCTTTTGATCACACCTTCCAAGGCTGGTTTTTTTTTTTGTTTTTATTTCTCATTCTGCAATTATTAAGCAAGCAACATAAATCAGAAAATAATAAAGAATTAGCCACCATTGAGACTTAAACTCGCATTCCATATCTTGGGAGCCTAACATGGACAGTGACTTACTGACTGGTAGATATTTCTAATATAGAATTGTTTAAAGAAATTCAGACAAATATAAATTATGTCTAGTCAGTTTAAGCAAAACAATGACATCAAGTTAACAGATCATGACAGCTATTAGGGAGGTGTGATTAAATATACTTTAATGTTTAAAAAAAATTTATTCAGTATTATTATTCTTTAGGTAATAAGCATTATAACATAGCACAAATAGCTATATTGTGAAAGAAGGAATTTATGTAGTTATGGATAATATTACACATTAATAAAAAAAATTAGTAATTAATAACTATTTCTGCTCAGTTGTTGACATTAATAGCTATCTGCTGATATGTTAAAATTTTGGAATAACATGGCAATATAACAAAATGAATGATTATAACCAAGTGTTTCTGTAGCCTAATCAGTATGGCACCTGTCTCTGTCATGATAGGCTCTCAATTCAAATCCTGTCAGATCCTAATTTTTAATTAGAATTTTAATAATATTGACAAATTTTAATATTATTTAACCTGGGCATTAGAGTTAAAAAAACAAAAAAAAAAACAAGATTTGAAAGAAAGAAAAAGTAAAAATTCATAACTATATTAATCTAGACAGAAGACATGATGCAAAATTAAAGATGAAAAAGTAAAAATATTTTTTAAAATGACCCAAATCTTCAAAAAGATAATTTTCTTTTTTTTCTATTGCTATTGCAGGAAATGTTACGACACGACCCACAGTCCCTCCCCCAACACCAAGTAGGATTGGCCAGCCACCACTGCCTCCAGGCCGGCACATGTCACCAGCACCCCCGCCCCCATCACGGGCACCACCACCTTCTCGTGGTCCTGCTGTTCCCCACCCCCTCCAATGCGTTCCACTCTCCCTCCACCTCCCAAAGTACCTGGAGCACCGCCTCCCCCTCCCCCAACAAACCCACCCAACAGTGCACATCTACCACCTCGAGCTACCACAGTAGAAAGTGGAGGTGGAGCCCCGCCAGCACCACCTCCTCCTCCCCCACCACCGCCACCCCCAGTGATGAGCGACGACAAGGATGACTCTGCAGCAACACAAGGCACTGGTACTGATGCCCGATCAGCCCTCCTTGATCAAATTCACCGAGGGACCCAATTGAAGAAAGTGACTGTAACAGAGAACCGACCCCCTGTCGAGGATAAGAGAGACAATTTGCTAAGTGAGATCAGAAATGTGGGCCAGAAAAATTTGAAAAAAGTAAGCAGTCAGGTTTTTTTTGATCACTTGTTTTTGTCACACCAATTTCTTTTGCCTATACTAATTTGAATTCATGTCAACACACATCTTAGCATAGATTGCTTTCTTCATTTTAAGAGGTGCTGAAAAACTGTCAGCTACACTAGAAAGGGACTCCAAAACAAATTCTGGTGTTTGATCTCAGACTGAGAAATTTTCATCATGTACGATGAGTAAATTGTCGCCATTTCATATATTATTTTTTTTTTTTTTTTTTTTTTAATTTTATCAACTGCAAGGTCAGTTGGGCACCATCTGTGAGAAAAAAATTTCCAGAAGTGTCATGCTGGAAGCTCCAATATGAACATTTCAGAGTGTTTTGATGTCAATCTGAGGACAATAGAGGATTCAGAGAGTTGAAGGAGTCTAATGGTGATTATGAAGGTCTTTAGAAGTGATCAGTAGTGATGGTATGCCTCCATTCATCTTCCCACAGGACCACAGACTCAACACAGAGGCCTATAGGGGGTGGCTGCTGGAAGACCCTATGACTGGAAACAAAACTCTGCATCATGCCACACAAGCAGAAGCTAATCTTATGTGTAGGGCATACTTGTAACATGAAAGCCGAACTGAAGGCAAGGTTTATGGCAGAATTCAACAAAGGCTGTCCAGAAGAGTTGCAGGAGATTCCAAAGTCACATAATTTAGACACTTTATCTATCACACACACAATTTTTTATTATATATATATATATATATATATATATATATATATATATATATATACACGGTGTAATGATTGTCTTGCTAGATCAATTGACTGCATAGTGAGTTCAATCCTTACTGGGTACCCCATACTTTCAATCTTGTGCCACATCTAAGCTCTGCTTAAAAAAAATCATTAGTAGGGTGTTGAATAGTATTGGAAATAATGGGACAAAGTGGAAAGCTTATTAATAATGTAGTTTGGTTTGTCATCAGTTTTGAATGTAAAAAAAAAAACACACTGGAATTTTTGATAAGAGGAGCAATAAATTATCAAATGAGAAAGTTATGGGTTTTTTTTAAATAAATATTAGAAATATTAGAGCTGTTGCACTTTAAATTAGCCCACTCAGATGTTTTTTTTTTTCTATTAGCTTGTATAGAGCATTATGCTACTATTGCTTTTGCAATGATTTTGGCCTTAGTGCACTAATCTCTCAATAATAAACCTATCAATGCATTTTCTTTTTAACAAATCCTTTCATTTCATAATCAGACTGGAGCACCGCCTCCCCCTCCACCAACAAATTTGATTAGGCTATCAAGTTAAAACTGTGGTTGTATTACGGTGAACTACATTTGACCACAATTATAGTAATACAAATGCAGTATGCAAGTTAATAAAGAAAAAATAAAAAACAAATCTACTTATTCAACTGAAATGTCTCTGGTTGTTGGATCTGATAAGGTAATTTAATTTATTGCTCTTATCCTAAAAAATCTCAATGCATTTTCCTTAGACTCAGTTTTGTCTTTCATTCCGATCTGAAGGAGCCTAACCAAACATGTTGATGAAAGGCATTGTTAAAAGGTTTTTCCACTTTGTCCCATTATCTCCACATACATCCAACCTTATTTCTTATTGCTATAGTTTTTAGTGGGCACACTTATTTGGATTGCCATCCCTGTTACTATTTTATTAAACAGTAAAATTAATAACACTTGGCCTAGAGTTAGAAGTGCTAAAAAAAAAAAAAAAAAAGTCTCTACAGGAATTAAGCCTGTATCCCTTTTTCAATCAGAGAAACTGCTTTTAGTGGAAACTTGCTGCTCCTAGTTTAGCCATCTTGATAGCAAAGTTTCTAATATTAATTTCACTGCTTAAAAAAAAAAAAAAAAAAGAGGGATAGCATCTCAAATATGTGGACCCATTAAAAATGTTTGAGAGGGGATTTAGGCTAACATCCAATTTCACTTAAAATTTTCTTTCATCAATAAATGTTGCTTTGACTTTACTTACCTTGTGATGAACTTATATTTCAGTTCTTTTTAATGAGCTGCACCCACAAGAGCTTCAATTTTTTTTCTTCCCTAAACCATCAATTCCCCATTTAGTTTAGAATACTAAATTGTTGTTCAGCTTTTATTATTCGAAACTTGTCATTTTAAGGTTGATGCCAGCCAGTCAGCTCGGCCTACCTCAGCTGGAGAAGATGGAATTGTTGGTGCTCTTGCTCAAGCTTTGGCAAACAGAATGAAAAGCATGCAAGGATCAGGTATAAAAAGTGATATCTTTTTATTCATTCATGAATATCATATTGAATATCATATTATTACTTTTAAGTCATCCGGACTCATTGGCCTGGTCTCTTTCTGCCACTTGGCCTCTGTATCCATTTTGTGTAATTGAAGTTGGTTGAAATGTCCATTGAACTGAGCAAAAACTGATCTAAGAATTTTTTTTTTTTTAAGTAGACACTTGGTATTCTGGTTTGGAATGTTGTATCCTGGTTGACACATTGGGTTTTAAGCCTACATGGTTATTTTTCACAAGGACAATGAGCATCATTTAGTAGCAAAGAGTGGAGTTGCTGTAGACTGGCAATTGTGGCCTTCACACAAAAACAGTCAGCTTCTACTCAACTTAGTTAGAAATTGCAAAGAATTTTTTTTTTTTTTCTCTCTCTCAGTAACTGAAAGGTCATTAAACAATACATTGACAAGACCCAATATAAAACTGGTTCTGATTGCCTGGAGGCCAAAATCAAAGGATTTTTATATATATATATTAAAAGAATGGGAAAACTGAAATCCTTGGGAAATTTTATTCAAATTTTTCCCATGCTAAAATTTGATTAGGCTATTTTGCTTCATACATCAGTTACCTTCCAGAATCACTGTCCTAGACGTTTTCTTGAAAAATAAACTTCATTTGCTCACATCCCATGAAACTATCTGGATCAATCAATCTTGAGCATAAATTTATTACGTTGTAGTATGTCCAGTTGGTCAATACAGGAGAAATCTCTGGAGACAGAAACAAGTAGACCACAAGAATTTGAAAGTGGCAACTTACAAGCTCTTTGTATTATGGCACACCCTTCTTTAACAAGACATTTGTAAAGATTTGAAGCATTAGATAGAGATAAAAGGAAGATCACAATAATCCAAAACATTGTTGGAGATCTATTCATAATTTACAATATAACCTTTAAGTGTGTGTGGTGTTATTACTTTGTCTTCAATCAATGCAACATTCTTTCTCTGGTGAAAAAAGGTAATAAAGTTGTCAATAAAAATATCTTTACATCAAGGCCCTTCTCAAAGGATTTATAAACTTGTTAGTCATCTAATTCCAGGTGTGAATATTTCATGGAAGTTGAGAATAAACGTAGGCCATCTTGCATTTTAATTCTGCTTCAAAATTCAATAATTCTTAGGCAACATTTGACATTTTCATAACTGATTGAGTTCTATTTATCTTTCAGATGGAGAAAGTGATGAAGAGAGCAGTGATGATGACAATACAGATGATGATGACTGGGATGACTGAACACGTCAGCAATCCACTGTCCGAAACAAATACATACACGCACATTTTCTTCCATACAGGTGGGTGTGTGTATATATATATATACACATGCACACATAATAGCAGTGTCATTCCTCTTACTTAATTTTTTTTAAGTGAGAGGAGAAGTCTGATTGCAACAAATGCCTTATCTCAGTGCACCCCATTTTCTCTAGCTAGCAGCTATCTCACTTTGACTATTTAACCACAGTAGCCTCCAGTAAGAGATGACATCTTGCCTTACAATAATGGCTTAAATATGTTCACTAACTCCTTAATATCCTCTTTACAGAGGTCTACTGTACAGCAGATTCAAAATCTGAGACTTTGTGTAGGAGTTTAATTTCTACCTGGTTTCCAAATTATTTATTTCATGATATAAGATCTTTAGTACTAATCTCATGTTATTAGATTTTGTCAGGAAACCAGGGAAAAAAAAAAAATCCAAAGAACTCAGCCCTTCCCTTTTCAACAAAGACACGAAAATATCAAACATGGTTTGAAAAATAAAATTCTAATAATTTCAATTTCATGACCGTTTTTGTACTTGTCATTTACCCAATTTAAAAAAAATAAGAACCCCTGCTTTAAAGTCATAATTGCTGAATTTTTTTTTTTTTCTCTCTTGTAGGTGTGTTTTAATTCAGCATTTACAATTGTTTCTAGGTAATCCCCATAAAAAAAAGACATTTTATTTGGTAAGCTAATGGTTCTTATATACTGCCAACTTCTAAGTTTATTATTGGTAACTGATTCCCACTCAATATTATATTTGAAGTCAACAAGAAATACAGCCAAATGGTTGAAACAACAAACTACTTTGTACTTAACTAATTACATTTTCATTAGGAGACAAACTTACAAGACTCACCCAATTTTGTTAATTTTCCCAAGAAACTCCTCCAAGTAATGTGGACAGAGAAAGGTGATGACTCATTCTGTAATGGTAGAAGAACCCGAGAATAAACCTATTAATGTTTATATGACAGTGTATAAAGTAGTAAAATACAAGCTTTATCTCTTGCTTTTAAAACTCAAATCATTTCCTTAAACTTTCTTCTAGTTAATTGTTGATCCTTTCTTATTTGTCTCATTCTTTAACCCTTTGAGCTCTTGAGTCAATTCGCAAATAAGTGGTATGTAAGGTTTCACAGTACATGTAAAAATAGTTACAAGTGTTCAACTGATGAACTTGGCATTACATCATTTTTCTCCACTCCAGTAAAACAGTAGTCAGGTCTCAAAGGGTTAAGCCTGTCATAAATAGTGTCTTCAGAATTGACAAAATGGCCCCAAAGGTCATTTAAATTGAACAGGCAACACTAAAGTTTTAATACTTCAAGCAAATCTCATAATATATGCCCATGTTTTTTTTTTTTTTTAAAGTTTCTATGTAGAATTAAATAAATTGTTTAACCATTGTAAGAGGAGAAAAATAAAAGCAACAATAGAAAAATTTGCATTGTAGTTTAATTCATAAATTGGGCATGTGTTTAGCAACAGAGTGGTACGTTGACATGATGAACAATAATGTATAATAATGATGTCCACAGCATTTCAAGGCAACTAGAAAGAGGGTGGGTCTGTAGTTGGCATTGAGAGGAGTAAAGAGATACACAATGAAGAAAGTCTGTCTGTGCATCAGGATAGGAAAGAACAACTATGATAGGGGAGAGCATACTACTCCCCCTACCTTTTGGAAAGGGATGGGAGGAATGGAAAACAAGAGGAATCAATGGAGGAATTGGCTAGATGGCTGTAGACACTGTAGAGATGGGCTTCAGATTCTTTTTATTCACCAACTAAGCTGTTGCTTTTTACTTTAGTCAGTTCCTCATTAAAACAATCGCTTCTCATAGCTGCAAAATAAAAATATATATTAAAAACATTGATATTTTCAGCTTGAAACGAGTAACTTTAATAAATTTCACTAAAAATGTAACTATTTTAAAACTGAATAAAAATTCATAGAGATTATATTTCCACAGTATTTTTTTTAGGGTTTCAAAATATATAAAATTTTAAAAACATTTCCATTTAGTCTTTCCTCATTCAAATAAAGAGCCTTATAACAACCAAGGTAAATGTTCTGCTCTAATCAGTCTTTGACATGATCAGGCTTACAGAAAAATCAATGTTTTAAAAGAAAATTGATCTTTTTAAGAGTATTTACAAGCCTGTCAATGCAAGATCCAAAAAGTCATCTTTAAAAGCAGGTTTATCAAAATAGTTAAAACTGTAAAAAAAACAAATAAAAAAAGAAAAACAAAACAGCAAAAACAAACAAACAACTACTACTTGAGAATGAATGTGCACAAAGAATATTTATACTACTTACCATAAACTATTTAATTCAAATAGTGTATGGGAAGGATTATTCAAACTTTAAATTATAAAATCTCAATGACAACTACATTCATTCTCATATAGTAGAATTACAATCAGCAATGCCCAAGAGGTACTATAAATTTATAATACATGAAAGCGTGCAGATTTTTCTTTGTGACAACATTAAATGATCTGGGAAATGCGTGAAATGTAGACGTGATTAGTTGAATTTCCTAGTCATATTACAACAGTTCAGAGAATTCACCATTTGAGACACTTCAGGAAGAAAGAAGAAATAGATTAAAGTTTCAGTCTAAATTGAAATAAAATTATAAAACATTAGGTAACTGAAATATTGGATTTTTTTTTTTCTGCCCTAATATAGAATCTACTGCAGTAAAACTTCAAATCTAAAACAGCTGCAGATAAAGCTGGCTACCTGAACAATTTAGGAGAAAGAAAAGCACAAACAACAATACAAAAGCAGAAAAAAAAAAAAAAAAGTTTAAATTTGACAAACTAATTCATATGCTGGCTGCAAACAGCAAGAAGCACCAACTACAGATTTCTTTAAACTTTGGATTTAAAGCTAAACCCCAGTTTTCTTTTGTATATTGCAAAAGAAATATTTCCTTAGTAGGAAAATTTTAAAGTAACTCAAGTTACTCAAATGGAATTAAACTGATGGGGGTAAAAAAAAAAAAAAAAATTTACAATACTTCGGCTTCAGTGTCAAACATGTACAATGAGGATCACTCCTACTGTTAAGTGGATATTTAAAAAAAAAAAATTATTACCCATACTAAAATGGCAGTGGGGTGGGAAAGGACATGTATTCATATCCAGTTGGTAATTCTGTACTGTCTAGGTAGGAAGATTTGACAGGCTTCTAAAGACAACAAGTGGGCAAAGAAGCTGGGTTCAGCAAGTGTGACACTAGTCAAAGAGGATGAGGCAGAGTTAGAAGGGAATAAGGATTCAGTTGTGGCACCAAGCCTACCAAGCAGCAGGTTAAGTTCCTCATTTCATCGATTCCACATGCAACATTGGAACATGATTATCCAAACCATGTGAAACAATGTTATTGTAACTGTAATGGAAATGGAAGGTACATCAGTTAAAAAGGAGGAAATGTAGCATCAACAAAGGGGGAAGAAAGAAGAAGTTAAAAAAAAAAAAAAGTCAAACATGAGCGAAGAACTGAAAGAAATGGAATGCAGCTGAACATTAATATTGCTTGCTGCACATTATTTGGTTGATCTTGTACCTTCTAGCATTCAAATGTGTCACAATTCAATAAACTTAATGTCCGCAAAAATGTTTTATGTATTCATGCATATTATGGATTGGTGCTGTAAGTATGAGATTTGCTAAGCAAATTTATACCAACATTTTTATATATTTGTAAATCCATGTATTGTGTTCAACTGATATGATCAACCTGTAAGGATGTTCTTCCTAGTCACTAAATCCATTCAGTTATTTGCAGTTTTAAATGTCAGTGTGACACTTGACTATATAGGTAGAATGGGTCAGTACATAAGTCAAAATTTAAAAGGAACAAGGCGATAAGCTGGATTATGTCAATGCATCCAGGTTTGTAATATTTGAGCATTGGTCAAATAATCCTCAGCCAAGGTCCCCACAGATCTGTGTAAAAAAAAAAAAAAAAAAAGATTCCAGGAGTATCTTAAGAGTTTTCAAGGACTGAAACTGATGCATACATACACACAAAGTGAATGGTCATCAATTTAAAAAAAAAAAAAAAAAAAAAAAAACTGAACATCTCATTTGTCAAACTATTAAAAGATGACTCACAAAGAAAAGCTACAACTGGCTCCAATAATTCATGTCACATGGATTAGTTGAAAGCAGTGAAGAAATCCAAGTGTTGAAGGCTAAAACAACTGAATGCAGACCTGCTTATGTTACACATTTTGTGTATTCTTGTCTTGTAGCGGCATTCACCCGGGGTGGGTTGAGCTATATAGATCACATGGTTTGTGAATGTCACAAAAATTCTTGATTGCTGTACATTTCCTGTGAAGTTAAGTATAATGGTTTTAATGAACAAAACTACAAATAGAAATTTTCACAAAAGATTTAGCTATCTCTACTACTCACAGCTTTTATTGCACATGGCAGAGAATACAATGTTACCATCCTCTTCCAATCTTAATATTTCTATGGACTTTGTGATAAGTGTGAAGTTCTGAGTTTATTCAGCTTTCTCCATATAGCTGTCAGTTGATTTGAGCAAATTTTGTGTGCATCTTCAGTTTATGCTTTTTTGGTCTTCAGTTTCCATAAGCATGTATTTCTGTTAATTTTTTCTAGTTGCTTCTTCCTGCTTATTTTCCTTCTCAGCCTCAATGTATTGGAAGCACTGCAGAGAAGAACCTTAATCATGGGAACAATCCAATCACCTCCAATTGTGACCAAATAGTCCTTGATAATGTGCTGTGTGCAACCAGTCTGCAGTTTCATATTGTTAGTGAAAATTTCTTTGACTGAGAAATCTCTCTCCACTGAGGCCTGTTCATGAGAGTACCGGCAATCTAAAAAACTTTCCAGTTTTTAATATTCTTTGTTACTACACAAACAAGAATAAAATAAAATGTCCAATTGCTGAAATTCTTGAAAGCAATATTTTCTGTAGCCACTTCCTTGAACTGACTGATGATGTTATCACATGACTGTTTTCTGCCCAGCATGTGGGAAAGACATTTTTTCCAGACTCTTATGTAGCAGCATGCAAACAGATCTTTTGTTGACACATTTTGCTTAATACTATCTGCCAAAATCTACATTTTTATGCACATTTGGGTCTGACAAATTCATTCAGTTTGGAAAATCTAATTATCTTTTTAGTGTGCTTCTTCTTTACAAATCTTAAATTTCATGATCATGCTAAAAAGATTATCTGCAAGGAAAGGAAGCAACGGTTTATCACTGATAATTTTATCAGAAACAGTTCAAGAACTTTAGAAACAGACACAAAAATCCAGTTTCACTGGAAATAAAACATTATTCACATGTGACAACACTGCAGAGAAGGTCTGAGGTTTTTTTAATTGAGTTAACTATTCCATTTTTTTTAATCAGGTTAACAAATTTGAGGACATCTGGTCAAATGTCTAAGAGTCATTCACATGTTCGTACATTTTTGTTGTAGAGTAGTTTTCACAGTGGAGGCTTGTATTTCAATAAGTCGTCCTAAATTAGGTTCGACGTACAAAACGTTAAGAACTTGAAATAAGAGTTAATGACGCAGCAATCTAGTTGAGATGGTTGATACTTCAATGTCCGACAGACTCACTCAACACCACTGAGCCCAACTGGCCACTGCTACTACTACTTATCTGTGGGAGAGTCTATTACAATAGAATAGGTATTATAGTATAACAATTTTCTAGCCATCTATGGCAGAAATACAAAAATAAAAGGAAAGGGTTGCCAGATTGAACTTTTAAAGCCAAGCAATAAAAGCCAAATAAGTTTTAATATATTTCATAATTTTTTCACACAACAAAAGCTAAAAGATACAGGTCATTATTAGCCTGTAAACTTTAAAAATAATTTTTTTTTTTCAAAGATGCATTTTCTATCCTAAGACCCATCAAAGGCACACTTTCCTTTGAGTCAATTCAATTCTCAAACTTGTTACTTTTCACAATTTAGACAAGCATAGTTTACACAGATACACATTGACACAGACACAAAGTATCTATTTTTTCCAGCATAAACTTACTCACTGCTACCCTTGAAAAGGGCCTGTCAATTTTCCAGGACCTGCATGAACCCTGCTAAGTGTGCTTTGTCCTGCACCAAAGACATGTTCTGCATTGTTCCATTTGAAAGTTCTAGAAATAATATATATTGAGTCCTTACTGTAAGCAGGAGTAGCCTTGGGATTTGAATGTTTATGTGCATGTATCTTGTCTTGCCTTTAGGATTCCCAACTTTTTTAATTGTTGCGAACACTCCATTCCATGATAGATCTCCGAAGAGTGAGAAACAAGCACTACTAAGAGACCTGTACTAGTGTGACACTCACCCCCACTTCAAGCCATTGACTGGTCACCTTTGCTGGATACTGAGCACTAAAAAGACATTTCTCTTCACTGTACATTGTGTTTCTTGATCCTGAAGAAGTCTTCTGCGAGGGTGAGCAGTTGAAAGAATCACACAAAGTTAAGACTGATTACTTGGGTGAGAGTAGCATAAAATGATAAAACAAAAAGATCAAATTATATTTTGCAAGACAGTAAATGCCACCTGTATTCATCTATATTCTAGGAACAATGAAGTTAATATTTTTCCTTCCTTGTATTTTGTAAGCTTGGCCAATACATTCTGCCTCAAAGAAATTTTAGCATTTCTGCCATGTGTACCATAAGAAGGAAAAAAATAAATAAAAGAGAACTTGCACATGCAAGAGACAGATTCTCATCTAGTTATGGAATTGGGAAAGTCACCAATTATGTCTCCCCTGTGAGATTGAAATACTAACTGGGATCTTTCTCTCTCAAAATCAAATCACCACCTGCCTCACAACTCAAAATGGCTGCTTTTATGAACCTGCTCTCCAGATTGACAAGATGAGAAGTCAGCAAAATCATTAATTTCATTTTCATAAGGCTTTGTTCACAAAACACACCCACTAGCCAGTTTCCAAGTTAGAAAATCCCTAAAAATCAATGCAATTCCATAATGTTGGTAGTTTAAGACTTCAGTTAACGAGCTTTTATCCCAGAACTCAAATCACCTATCAAAGCCTGTACCTATTCTAAGCAATGTGTAAGTGTAGTGGTTTGCTAGTTAGACCTAACCCAGCCATAGTTCAGTTAAATTTAGAACCTGAAACCCAATTTCACTTATTGAACCTAATTAACCTTTTTTCTTTTTCTGTTGCCCTTCATTACTCTTCCCAGCTCTATGCCATCAAACTAAGCCCAATGATTACAACTGACTGCTGTCAAACCTCTTGAAGGATCTACTAACTCATTACAAGACAGGAAACCACCCATCTCATAGCACCAATACTTGAGAAATTTTTACTGGATGTTAATGGCTTATTTTATGGATTTGGAAAGACTAAAAATTAAAATCATTTACAGACAGCTGAAGCATAAGAGGATTTAATATGAGTGAAAAAATTAATTCAAATACAGACAATTCCAGATGCTGTGAATAGATGAGATATTGCCTTTATAGAAGTTTAACAAAATAAAACAGACCAACAAAAACACCAAAGCAATCTGAAAATAATTTTATAGAATCCAACTTGTAAAGAGTTCATATTAAAATGTGTCAGAAATTTAATTTCTGTATCTATCTTTTTATCTCTCTTACTTTCCTTCCTCCTCTCCTTTTACCCGTGTGCAGTATAAGAACTGCTGCTGCTGTGTCACGCAGCGAAATAGTGTTTAACGATTGGTCGTACGTGATTTTCCCCGCTTGTTTTCGACTAGATTAGAGGAATCTAGTCAGTAGTAGCAGAAAAGGGCGCCGCAGTGTGGAGACGATAAGTCATCTTGTCTTGCGACGAAAAGAAAACCTGCTTGAAGATAACCTGTTGTTGCTCTAACAAGGAAAACAGTCATAAAAGACCAGTCAAGAATATTTGTCTAAGAGAATTGAAGATAAAGAACAAGTGTGTTCGCCGTATGGAAAAAGCTTATTCTCTAGACAAGTGAAGTCTAGTCTGTTCAAGTAATCAAGTGGATTATTGTTCAGCAACCAAAGAACAAGTCAGTAAAGACTTATCTAAAAAATCAGTTAAAGAAATTATTGTAAAGAGAATTTACAATAGAACATTCTCAAGGAAGTCTTCTTTCGACAATCGGGTTGAAGACAAAAAAAAAAAATCAAAATTAAGCGATTGAAAAGCTACCTTCCTTCGAGGAGTTATTTTGTCCTATTGGTGGGCGAAATTCTGACGTGGAAAAAAAGATCTTCTAAGTCGTCTCTAGAAGTTGAATTTGTGTTGCAGAGAAAGTTTGAAAAAACAAGTCTGCATTTATTTTTAACAGGAAGCTTGCTTATCTTCCAAGGAGAGCAACTCAAAAAATATCTAAAAACCTTTCTGCCCAGCTACTTAAAAAAAATACTAAAGCTATTTTTTTTTTTGAACAGCAAGTCTAATTTTTCCCCTCTTTCTGCTATCTCTCTACCTCTTTCACTCTCTCTGAACTGTTATTGGAGTCCTTTTTAAGGGCTCACCAAAGGGACGTTTTTGGCAGTCATTTTCAAGTTGTACCAGTGAACTTTAACATCAGACTATCCCCCCCCAATAAATTTTATAGCTATTTCAAGTGGTTTTTCCTTCTTTATCTCACTTGTTATAGTTGTATATTCATGGTTTCAGGTCTCTGTTACGCAGGATCCCCGTCATTGGACGTAATGACAAAGTTTCCCAACCTTTTTTGCGCCAAGATAGTTACTAAGCTAAATTTCGACAAATGTTATAATTAACCATTGTTACATCCAAGAATAGAAATCTTTAGCAGACTTACTATCTGTACATGTAAAGGATGCTTATACCTTAAAAAAAAAATAAAAATTTTTTTAATGTAGATAAATGATTGACCATCAATATTATATGACTCAACCATCTCCTTTATTGCTCTAATACTGTTTGATCTTCACTAAGCATAGAAATATTCAATCTCCAAAAGAATTGTTCATTGCAAATTTCCTCCAAAAATAATGTTTAGTTTCATTATTTTTAATTTTACATAATGGTGGACCAGAAAGATCTATAAATCTAAAACCTAGTTTTTAGTTACAAATCTTATGTTCTACTTAGAAAAAAATCAGAGAAAAATCTAATTTTATTTGGAAAATGCTAAGTCTTCAGCAACTTTTTAAAAGTTATATATGTAGCATAAAACTTTTTTTTTAAAAAGATCAAAATGACTTTCAAATGAAATAATTTATAGCAATTCATGTAGGTCACCATAAAAGGATAGGAAAAGAGCAAGAAGCAGATTCACAAAATTTCAGCTCTGGGGAAATGCAGATTAGAAATGAATTGCTGACAAGGCTTGCTTTTTTTTAATTTGGTAAAAATTTGGTCATTTAAAGAAAATCTAAAGTTGACGCATGCTCTTTGTAAAATTGCATTAAAATATTTTAAAGCAAATACTGCAAACTTAAGGGCAAATAAAACCTCCATAAAACAAAATGCACATGCATATCCCCCACCTCAAAAGGGTAAGACATTATAACTCAAAAGCTCAATCCAACACAACTTACAAAATAAAGGAAAAAGAAAAAAAAAACCAAAAAAAAAAAAAAAAAAAAAAAAAACAAACAATTCTACAATAGGCAATCAGTGTTTAGGATTTTAGTGCCTAAAATCTTCAGAGATTTTAAAGACAAAAAAAAAAAAAAAAAAAAAAAAAAAAAAAAATGAAGTCAAAAAAGATACTCACGAATGCAACCCATGCACACCACCTTCTACTTGAGCAGCAGAAGTTCGGCGTTCAAATTTAAGTTCACCAGAATACATCATAGATCTGAAATCAAAATGTGAATATCAATAAAATGTTTCCATAGCAACATTTGTAAGAGTAGCCAATTTTATATTTAATGGCAGTGAAAAATCTAGATAGTTTTGAAGCAACATAAAATATACTTATCCAAAATTTTTTATTTAATCAGGTGTAGATTTTTAAAGCCACTAAGGGCTTACTTAGTGTGAAAGAATATGAAAAAAATGAAAACATTACGGAGAGAGAGAGAGAACTGTAAAATAAAATTAGGACAGAAGATAATGATTGATCTTCAAAAATGTAAATGCAATGTCAAAGTAAGAAACCAGAAAAGAGTACCACAAGTGAAGAATTATATTTTGATTAAAAGTCAATTGCTGGCAGAATATTATCTATCAAAAAAAAAAAAAAAAAAAAAAAAAAAAAAATCTAAATCATTTTCATTTCTGGCTGGTTTGTAGTTTTTATCTGGAATGTTCACCACCACCATTACAGTATAGGATAACTGTTACTTACCGAAGAGCAGAAAGACTCTTGGCACCAATATCTTGGCAGCCATGCTGGATACCAGATATTAAGTAAGGAACAAACTTGTTGATGGAACCTTTGTCCACTATGGAGCCAGATACACCCTGAGCCACTTTTAGTTTATCACTTTCACTGAAAGAGGAAGAAAAGGTTTTAAAAAGATATTCTGTAAAAATTGTATTAACTGAAGAGATAAAACAGGACTATAAAACCCCAAAACTGAAGCATTGTAAAAACTCATTCCTTTATAATCTATAAGAACCAATTCACACTGGCTATTAAACACAGCCTGTGTATGACTTTGCATATGTGTATGTAATGTACAAGTGTGTGTGAATGACTTACATGTGCTTGTGTCATTTAATGTATGCACAAGCACAGAATTTGACTAAGTTTGAAATACGTCATTGGAATAAAACATTCACCCCTTCTTGACTCAGTCTGGACAAACCACACACACAAAAATTGAAATGGTATCGATGTCACAACAGATAATTTTTCTGTCTAGCAATAACACCAGGATAACAGGGAAAAAGTCGTTATTCATAATTCCTCTATTAAATATTATAATTTACATAGATTTAGATTTGAAATTTGCTACTCTGGCCTTCAGTGAAGCAACAAGTACTGAACTAGTTCATTCATAATCTGTATAATACTTGAAAAGTTTTGAAATAAGATTCATAAAAACTTTGCAAGTAAGCCACAGATCAAAACACATGGATTTTGCTAAAAATTGAATAGTATTGAAAACTACAAGTAAATAATTGAAATTATAGAACTGAAGTTATACAGACAAAATTTACCTGAAATATCTACTTTGGCTGCTACGGTGTTTCTCCATGGCATCCAAGGAACCCATGCCTCGATATTTTTTAAGGCGGACCCCATCAGCAAAGAAATACTCTCCTGGTGCTTCAGTAGTTCCAGCTAACATAGAACCCATCATAACTGTAAAGGAAATTTGGAAATTTAATTTTATATTGCATGAACTATGAAGTAGTATCTTATTTGAGAAATGTATTCTTTTCTTTAAAAACGATGCAATATAAGCTAATCAAAATCTTACCTGTTGACGCTCCAAGAGAGAGTGCCTTAATACAATGGCCGACAGTGGAAATGCCACCATCTGCAATCACAGGAATGCCAAAACGTCGAGCATACTCAGCTACTTTGTAAACTGCTGTACCTTGAGGGCGACCTACAGCCATTACTGAAATTTAACAAAAACACCCATTAAGAATAAATTCCATTTGGTATTTTAAATGAATACCATCCACCTGTCGTGTGTGTGTGTGTGTATATATATATATATACATGCATGCATATGTGATTAAAAAGGAAGAATGGTTACCTTCTTGAGTAATGCAAATTGAACCACTGCCCATTCCAACTCGTAAGGAATCAACGCCAGCATCAATAAGATTTTTAGCCTGAGCTGCAGTCACAACTGAAATAAATAAAAACCATTTTATAACTACATATTAGACTATTAGCAATCAAATATTTTAGAAGAATTAAAAAGCAATATAGAATGCAATTTCTTTTAGCAAAGGGATAAGACTGCAGTTTTTTTTGTTTGTTTTTAAGTCGTAAATTCTCAAAGAAACAGATTCCACTTAAGGTATAGAGCAACAGAGACAATGTAAAAAAAGAAAAGGGAAAAAAAATAATCTTACCGTTTCCACCTACAATCTGTAAATCTGGATATTTCTGTTTAATTCCTCGAATCATGTTAATTTGAAAGATAGAGTTACCTTGAGATGAATCCTGGATGAAAAGAAATTAATTTAAACTAAGAATTGTTCATTAATTGTACAAACATTCAATTTTAGTGACAACATTTTGACCAAATGAATTATTACAGACTTAACATTAAAAATGTAAAATTGTATATTAAAAATGAATAATTTAGAAATAAATAAAAAATAAAATAAAAAATAAAATAAAAATAAAAAATAAAAATTACATCATTGATAAATTTTTGAAGATTAGACTTTCAAAATATTTCAAACTAAAACTTTCAAAAGAAAGAAAGAGAGAGAAAAAAAGAGAGAGAGAGGGAGAGAAGAGAAAAGTGAACTTACTAGTACTACAAAATCGACACCGGCCTGGACAAGGAGATCTAATCTCTCATAATCACAATTATGTGTGCTGATGGCAGCCCCAACAAGAAGCTGTTTCCTAGAAAAGAAAAATAATAAGTGAGCTTACACCAAATGCTTATTCTTTTAAATTAAGTTTTTATTTTCTGTACAACTAAATTAAATTTTTCAGAAACACTTGAAAATTCTTTGCATATTAAGAAAAAGCAAAAAAGAATTTTTCACTGTCAACTTACTTTTCATCTTTTGATGCTAATGGAAATTCTTTGTTCTTTTTTGTGTCTGTGCGAGCTATTAATGCTACTAACTCCCCTTCTTTATTGATGATTGGTAATTTACCTGTAATAACAAAAATCAGAGTTCTAAAGAAAATATCTGAATAAACAAAATGGGTATTGTATCTAACTGGAAAGGGTAAAGTGCTATACAAAAGAAAAAAAGTCATACTATGACAGGTATATCATTACAATTGAAATCAAACTAGTATTTTTTATTGCTAATCACAAAGTACAAAATAGATGGAAATCTGGATACAAACCTTTTTTACTTTTCTGTAGAATTTGGTTAGCTTCTTTTAAATTAACTCCTTCAAGAGCCACAATGAGATCTTCTCTTTTGGTCATAACCTGCAACAGAACAAAAATGGTGAAAAAGGCAAAAAAAATATTACTTTCACACATGCATAAACAAAATGGCAGTTATACAAACAAAAGTATTGTTGTCCCAAATTTATAAATTTAAAGTTACATCTTCAGTTATTTTTTTTAAGCATTCCAACATCAATTTACACTTTCCAGGTATTAATTCACTAATTACATTTTTGACAAGATTTGAGAAAAAGTAAATTTTCATGCACAAAGCCAACTTACCTCATGTAGTTTTGTGTGATATTGGTCCATAGTGAGAAAGTCAATGTCTCTTTGAGTAACAAGCCCTACAAGGAGTTCACCCATGTGACCTTTCTCTGTTATTGGAATACCAGAGAATCCAAATTTCTTTTTAGCTTCTACAACATCTCTCACTGTGTGGTTTGGTGACATCACAACCGGGTCCAGAATGAATCCTTGTTCATATTTCTGACAGTAAAAAAAAAAAAAAAAAAAAAAAAAAAATTTTTTTTACATTTCTTAGCAGTTATAATTTTTACAAGCCTAAAGAGTGTAATAATATACACAAAGTAAACACAAACCTAATACCATATGTAGATTGTATTTCTAATCTAGGTTCTCTCAACTTTTCTGGTCCAGCATTTTTCTATCTGCTACCATTCATTTGTGAATTTGCAACTAGAGATGATCTATATGGGTTGAATTTAATTGAGCAATTCTTAAACTTGTTAAAAATTGATGTTTAAAAAAAAAAATCAACAATTTAAAGCCAAATTGAAGAACTTTAACAATTTTTAACATTTTACCATAAAATTAGACAAATAGTGTTTGATTCCTAAATATTTTTAATGTAACCAATTAAAAACAGTCAGGTAATTTTCATTTGTCCGTATATTATACAAAATAAGTGATATTTTATTCTCTGCACTGCTAAGAAAAAAAAAAGTTAAATTTTAATACATAAGCAGTCAATGTTTTGGGGCATTTTCTATAACCTAGCAAGTTTCCAAGACTAAAGTGATATAACCATATAGGCTTTGTTTTTAACCATTATCAATTTTCCGATTTATTAACACAACTATCATTAGATTTTACAAATACAATGAAAGACTTTTGTTGACTACCTACCACTAGACGGATTGTTGATCATATCTACTAACAATTGTGGCACAGCATTTGCAATCTAGAAATGATCACAACTAATTCAGCCATAAGAGTTTACAGAAAAACAGTACTTAACAACAAACTATTTTTTGTAAGACTATAAGGAATAGAATATGAGAAAGAAAAAAAAAAAATCTATGATTTTCCATAATCTTGAGAATATTTTAAAAATCTACAATATTTTAGTGTTTGTATTTATGATTTATTACAACAAAGACATTTTTTAAGTTTCAAGAAGTCAAAATTTAATAAAAAGAGTAGCAGGAGGAGAAGAAATAATGAAAAACAAACTCACTTTGACTTTCCTCACTTCATTTGCTTGAAAGTCTGGTGTACAATTATGATGAATGACACCAACACCACCACAAAGCTGTTAAAAAGAAATAAAGATTACAAGTGACTAACACTCAAGTCGGATTCATTTGTCAGACAGATTAAATTACAAGACAAAGGGAGATGTGAATTTGTGATGATAAAATAGAAAACATTAAATACTTACTGCCATGGCAATAGCCATCTGTGACTCCGTTACTGTGTCCATAGGAGAAGACACTAAAGGAGCTTTCAGCGTAATTTTTTTGGTCAGGGCTGATGTCAAATCCTGTACAAGAGACAAGTTAAATAAGTTTCTTACCAATTTTTAAAGTTATTTTTATAGAGAGAGAGAGAGAGAGGAGGAAGAGAAAAAAAAAAAAAGACACTTTAATGAATGCACATTCAAGCAAATAATCTAAAAATTTAAAAACAATCTACCATTGAAATTTTTTTTGAAATGTTACAGACCTGAGAAAACTTGCTAATTTAAGAATCTCTAAAAGTGAATATAAATAGAATTTATTATATTTAAAGTTTGGTCTATACCATAAGAGTATAATTACCATACAATGTCTCAAGTAAAGCTGATTTTATAACCACATTAAGAAAAATGTAACTGATAAGTGAGAAAGCTAAAGCAGCATATATATCTATTGTCAGTAAAGAAAAAAAATGCATTAACTTTTTAGAAAGAGTGAAGGCACATATCTTCCTTGAAAGAACTTCTAAATTCTGAAGTAGTTAAACAAAATGTTTAACTTATTACAATGATCTACACAAGCAGTAATTGTTACTTAACACAAAACAATTTTTATTTAAAATAAAAAAAAGTAATGTAATGCTTGCAAAAAAGTGCTATCTTAAAATAACAGCACAGACAATAGCTATTTAGAACATAGTTGACTAGCATTGAAAAGAAAATTATTTTTATCCTATAACTAATAATGTTACCTAGCATTGTTAAAGCTTCAAGGAAATTCATTTACCATACAACTTTTTATTACAGATAAATGACTATTTTGTTTAATATCTTAAAATATAAACCCTTTTGTTTTACTATTTTAAGATGCCCATTTTATAGGTCAATAACTAATGCTCCATGAATTACTATTAAAATCAACAAAAAATACCTAAAAAGAGACACTATTTAGCAACAAGATTAGTTTTATGCAGTGTAATGCACAGTTTTAGTTAAAAGCCAAAAGTAAAAGAATTCCAACAATCTTTTCAATACAGGCAAACAACTATTATTTACCAGTCTATTTTTGTCTGGAAGACTTCCTACTTCCATCCAATTTGCGGCAAAAGATATTAAATAAGATGCCTGTAGGGCAGACAAGATTTTAATAACAAAGTGTCAATTTTAGCTACAGAATACACTGACCAAGCAAGAAGATTAAATTGTTAGAAAAGAATCAACAGGTAAACTGATCTGACAACCCCCGCCCCCTGTTTCCACTACACAGTGGCAAGAAAGAAAATTGCAATAAGAGGAAAATATGGAGAGAGAGAGAGCGGGAGGGAGTCTGTAATTCCTAATATCTTTAAGTTCTTCATAGAAACTATTTTTATTCCTTTCAGCTCTTCCAAGGTCGCTTTTTATGGAATAGAAGAGATTAAAGAGCTATGGCTGTTAGTAGATTAGACTCATCCCTACCAATAAAATAGAAAAATAAAATAAAATGCAGAAAATTATCCTTTACAAACAGAAAGCCAAATCCAGAACAAATATTACAAGTTTCTATGGCATAATGCTATAGAGCAATAACATTTCCTCTCAGCTGGCAAATTAAAGCAGTTTTAGTGATAAAGTCATAAATATTAAAAAAAATTTCAGTAATCTTTTTTCAACACAGGCAAGAGAGTTACTACTTACACTTTAATAGATTGTATAACATCCAGATATTTAACAACCAAGAGAATGCCATTGAACATAAACCCTATTATGATTTATTACTATTCATCTGCTATAAATCACAAAATTGCTAAATCAACCATAAGATTTAATTTAATCCAAGACCAAGAGATTAAAAAAATACCAATTGAAATTGTGACATCAGAAAGAAATTGACCAAAAGGAAGATAATGTTAATACCAGACATAAATTTCTTCAATGTGAAGACAATTTTAGCATAGGCAATATCTTAACATTGGTAAAAATGCAACTCAATTGCAAGAACGTTTTGCGCAATTTATAGAGAAAATTCCTGTGAATGACTGAACATGTCAAAAGTGGGTTGAAAAGTTTCTTTTGAAGATTTCCCATTGAACAATGTGACACAGCCAATTTCAATCAAGTGATGCATTACTTGAGAATAAGCAATATTGTACATGGGAAAGCTTACTCAAACTATTCAAGCAAAATTAAGCTCTACTAATCATTCCAAAAGCCAGTCCTCATATAAAAACTGTGATTGTATACTGTTGAATTGGAAGGGAATACTACTCCTGATTAGACCAACTGCAGGTAACAACAAAAAAAATGTTTCGAATTAAAAAAAAGAACAATAATCCATCAAAACAATGCTGCAGTTTTAGTTATAAGCCAAAATTTCTTACAAGTCAGCTAGGAAGCTTTTACTTATCCACCACTAGCAGGGATACATGGCGTTGCTCAGAAGATCTCTGAATAATAGCTTATTTCACAATTTATTGATGTTTTTCGGCCATCTTATGGAAAATAATTTTTTTTAAATCTTTAAAAAAATAAACTTCATTGATTTTTGGTTTGTTACAAAATAACAAAATTTAGGAAAATACCACACTACCAATACCATGCTGGGGTGGAAGTCTCATTTAAAAGACACTATTTTTCAATTTAAATACTGGCATAAATACTCTGTTAATGTTAAATCAAACTTAGGTAAAAGTTCATTGTTTTTCAAATTATTATTAATAAAAAAGTAAATGAACATAAGATATATTTAAACATTCAATGTAATCATTTTTTCAAGCAAAACTATAGCAAGCCTTACTTCGAAAAATTATTTATTTTAGAGGGGGAATTTAGATTTTTTAAGTAAATAAAGTTCTATTTTAAACATTATATTAGCAAACATTTCTCTGTAAATGAAGTTAATTACTATTTTGTAAGAGAGTAGAAGCAAGCAAGATACATTGAGAATTTAGTTTTGAAAAGTGATTGTTTAAATTTCAAGTTATATTTGTATTTGAAAAGAAAAAACTTTAGTTAATAAAAATTAGGAGAGACAGACATGACTTACAACCAACATTAGTCATGGGCAAAATATTTTGTAGATGCTCTGTTTCTATGCTCTTTAGCATAGTTTATTACACGAAGCTTGTAGGCAACAGTGTAGCTTAACCTCTTTCTTGTTATATCCGAAGGAGTGAAATTTAGTCAAAAATTTTCCTTTATATATCATCTGTACAACCTGCATCTTGTAAACATCTTCATGGAATAATTAGGATATAAAAATTCTGATTGTATTTATACCAATGCAACCGGAAGTTATCGCAAGAAAAATATTAATGAAACAAATATATAACTTGAATTTATTGCATATAATTTTAGTGAAACAAAGTACTAATATTAAACATGATGAAATTAATATAATGAATATTATCAATGATAACAATTTAATCTGCATAATAGCCTTTTAAATAATGACAATAGATATGAAAGTTAGTCTAACGTCTAAGCTCATAGGAGTTGCCAGGTAGCTAGTTTCAACCAACTATCACAAATTTTAAACCTACATATGGTATATAAGACGTAGGGGAATTTTAAGATATTTTTAGTAAAAAAAAAAAAAAAGAAAGAAGTGCACCTAATATGCCGGCAAATATGGTAATTGTTTGGTGAGAAAGAAATGTTCTAGGAACCTGATTAATATAGGTGGGAATCAAAAACTAATTACTCTATCCATGGCAAAAAGAGTAAACCATCTTTGTGGATAGAGAAAATCCTGTAAAAACCAATAATAATCCAATAACTCTTAAAAGAGGAGAGAATAAGTTTCAGTGATAAAATGATAACTGTTCCAAAACACTGTCTCCCCTTTCATCATTAAAGATGGCAATATCTAGTATTTTCCATCCTTATTAGTGAGTATTAAAGATATTGTAAAGGTTATAAGTTTTATAAGAGGGTATCAAAAAGTTCCTGGACAACATGCTGTGATTGTACCATTTCACAGAAACATGTGTACAGTTACCAATCTGACTCAGCTGGCCAATATTATTTGTCTTCTAGTATTCAAGATTTTAAAAATGTCATAACAGCTCTGCAATCTTTACAAAAGCTGACTAATGTGAATAATGTGTCAAAGTTAAATTTTGTGTGATGCTCAGCAAATCTAGTAAAGAAAAATTTGAAAAGCTTCACTGTGCTTTTGGAGAACAATCTTTAAGTTGAAAACAAGTTTATGAATGAAAAATGAATTTTAAAGTCAAGTGTTTGTTCAAGATAAACTTTCAGAACTAACAACAAACAGTGACAGGAAAGTAGTTTGAATTCATTCATGAGTATCATTGGTAAATAATTCATCAGAATCTCAGATGATTAGAATCAGTTATAGTCTTGTAAGAGATCTTCATAGAAAACCTGAACAAATATTGTGCAGTTTGTGCTCCTGGGTGAGATTGCTGTTTGTCCCCAAGGGGTATGTTTGAAAGAAGGTAGCAGTCAAATTTAAACAATGCTTAAAATATATTACAGCAATAGTATGTTTTTAAGTCCTAGTCCAGAAACTTTCAATATTTTAATGCCCAACATATGGTCAAGAACCATTTGTAAGCATTTTCCATTTAATTAATTTGCTTTATAAGACCTTAAATACTCACCACTTCTTCAGAGGCGAAGTCAATAAAACCGGGTAAGATAAGAAAGTCACTGAAATTAGAATAAAAAATATTTTTTTTTTTTTAAAAATAAAAAATAAAAAATAAACTTTTAAGAGACTTTTAAGATTAATAATTAAAAAGAGAAAAAAGGATTTTAAATTGGAGATTAAATGGATGAGAACACAAGAAATAAATATTTTTCTTAGATATTTCACTGTTAGATATTTGGTAGTTAACCATATCTTTTTTTTAAAAATATTTTTAGCTAAATAAAAAGAAAATAATGTAGAGATACTTTAGTCTTTAAATTTTTTATAGTCTTAATAAGCACAGACTAGGGCTGCTGACTAACTTTTCATCATCATCCCAGAACCTTCCCGAAATCAAAATATTAACTTCATTTATATTTTAGTAGCATAAACGTACCATCAAAATGTTTAAGAAATAAATTCAAAAAGCTAAAATATTAAAGTTTTAAAAATGAATAAATACAAAAACATTAAATTTTTCTGTAGTTTTTATAAAAATCCAAACTATTTTCAAACATGTTGAATCAACTTGAATAATTTTACACACAAATGTCCTTAATTTTCCTGCTCAGGGTAACTTCTATAATCCCAACTGTTCACAATCAAATTTTATAAGTTTTTATCAAAACAAAAAATGTACTTACATTAAAAGCTCACTACTAAGTGAGAAGTAATTTTTTTTATTTTATTTTAAGAAATTAGTTGATTTTATAATATAATAGAATTTTAAATAAAAAATTTTCTACCATGCACAAAAAACACACAACTGTCCCAAACTAATGTTTTATTGCCCACTGGACAATGTTAATTTTGAGCCCTGGCAGGGACAACCTGATTATCCCAACATTACCTTTTATAATTATACTTATAATTTGCAATTTAGACAAGTTTTTGCTTCAGTAAGAAGATATACAATAGGGGAAATAAGTATTTCATCCCCTGCTGATTTTCTGAGTTTGCCACCTTACAAAATTACGAAGGGTCTATTATTTTCAGGGTAGGTCCGTCTTGAAAGTGAGAAATAGAATATAAAAACACATTTCTTTTTTTATTGAAAAAAAAAAAAAATATTTCACCCCCTACCAACCAGCAATCATTCAGGTCCCACGGACTGGTTATGTGACCAGGAGGCATATAGACTAGTCCTATTACTCAATTACTCCTCCTAATCAAGTACTCATTACCTGTATAAAAGACACTAGTTTACAGAATCCTTCAAGGAATCAGAATCTAATCTCTCCATAATGGGCAAAACAAAATTGTCTAAGGACACCCGGGACAAAGCTGTATACCTGCACAAGACTGGAATGGGCTACAAGACGATTGGCAAGCAAAGTGAGGAGGAGTCAACTGTTGGTGTGATAAGAAAATGGAAGAAACACCAATTAACTATCAATCTCCCTCAGTCTGGATCTCCACGCAAGATCTCCCATCGTGGAGTGAACCTGATGATGAGAAACATGAGGAAACAACCCAGAACTATGCAGCAAGAGCTTGTTGATGATCTAAAGGCAACTGGCACCACAGTCACCAAGATGACCATTAGTAACATACTATGTCGTAGTGGACTGAAATTATGTAGTGCTCACAAGGTCCCTCTACAAGGTACATGTACAGACCCATCAGAAGTTTGCAAATGAGCACCTGGATAATTCAGAGGAGGGTTGGGAGAAAATGCTGTGGTCAGATGAGACTAAAATTGAGTTTTTTGGCATCAACTCAATTCGCCATGTTTGGAGGGGGGGAAAAAGAGCTGACTTGGACCCCAAGAACACCATCCCAACCATTAAACATGGTGGTGGAAACATTATGCTTTGGAGCTGTTTCTCTAAGGGGACAGGATGACTACACCAGGTTGAGAGAAAGATGGATGGGGCCAAATACAGGGAAATCTTGAGTGAAAACCTCCTTTCCTCAGCCAGGATACTGAAGATGGGTCGTGGATGGGTGTTCCAGCATGACAATGACCCAAAGCATACAGCTAAGGCAACAAAGAAGTGGTTGCTCAAGGAGAAGCACATTAAGGTAATGGAGTGGCCTACTCAGTATCTGGACCTTAGTTCTTTAGAGAATCTGGATTTGGAGAAGATCTGTAAAAACTTGGTAACCAACTACAGGAAACATCTGGCTGCTGTGCTTGCCAACAAGGGTTTCTTCAAATACCAAGTTATGTTTTGCTATTGGGTGAAATACTTATTTTTTCAATAAAAAAAAAAAAAAAAAAGTATGTGATTCTCTAAAAGATTTTTTATATTCTATCTCTCATTTTCAAGATGGACCTACCCTGAAAATTGTAGACAGTTCCTATTATTGTAAGGTGGCAAACTTAGAAAGTCAGCAGGGGATGAAATACATATTTTCTCCACAGTAGATACAGGAAAATGTGTTTTTACTCTAATTATCTAGTTCTAGATATACAACAGAAAGTTGTGGTATAAAATATATAATAAGCCAAGATGAACAAGGTCTGTATAAAATAGTTTGGGGATTTAACAAGAAAAAAAAAATCCATTTTATGAATTTTCAGATTAGGAAAAATATTTTCTAAATTGCCAAGAGGTTCAGTGAATTGGTGAAAAACCAGACCAGTTTCAAGAAATTTATCCCGCTTCAAGATACAAGTTAGGATTTCCAGGGTATCACATCTTACAAAGATTTAATCATTTTAATTAGTGTTCAAGAGAAGAGCAACTTATTAAAAGAAGGGAATTGGTGTTGCCACTTTTTGATTTAGTATTAAACTTTTTCTTTTTCAATCTCATATTATACTTGAGTCTTTATAACATACTGAAGATTCAATTTGAACAAAGTGCATCAATTTCCATCAAGTATTACTTAAATACTAGAAAAACCCATGAAAATTTCACAGCTTTCCTATTTAAGTTTTCTGATAAATCTTAACTCTTAAGTTGATGACTGAATAAGCATGGTAAGTTCTATGACAAAATATCTGTAGAAAATCCTTACCATGTCATTAAATATGAACTTAACAACTTTAACAAAATATTGCAATAACAACCATAAACTTGAATACTGGTTGTTATTTTAAGTGGATAGAAATTAAAAAAATTTGAAATCAACAACTTTTCATTTCACTGAAACAGCAGTTAAACACTTCTATCTGCCCTTCATTCATTCATTTTCTCACTGAAATCAAGCCATGTCTCCCACCTCTTTCAACATGATCAAAACAGAATAGTCCATTAAACACTTCTATCTTTTATTTCTTTCTAGCCAAATCTACATCTTACAAACATTCTTAATTCAGAAGATTATGCTATTCAATTTATGGTAATTGGATTTTTGATATTTGCCTTACACAGCTTCCATTGTACAATATTGTGCATATGAAAAATGGCATGTTTATCAGTCACCATCAGTTCTCTGCCTTTTGACTGAGATCAAAGTTATATCCGTTATCCACTTAATCTGATTCTCTCTCCACACATCTATCTTCCTTTTATTTTCTCACTGAAACCAAGTAATATCTTTCCCCACAATCAAAATGCAGAATAGCTCATTATTTACAAGGTTACATAAGTAACACTCATGCTAACAAATGGAGGGACAAGTACAATTACAACAGGATTGTTTTTACATATTTTACTACCACAATATCATGCATTAGACACCTGTCTAAATATTTTATGGGCCAGGACTATAGTAATCTTAGAAAATCTTTGTCTTCAATATATAAAAAAATATACTTTATATGAAAAATTTCAAATAGCAATGATCGCAGCCACATCTCGGATTTTGAATTAAAGGATAGTTATACAAAATTTTTAGGTGTTTCTTAACCTAGCAAATACTAGGTTATAAAACAAAGCTTTTACTAAAAATAAAAAAATTCACTGATATCTACAATCAGTAACATCTCCATGAACATGTCATTCATACATTTAGACAAGAGACATGATAAGGTGCCTTGTGTTACTAAAATTGAAGTCTCAGAGCCCATACTGAACTCCAGGATACCTGATAAATAGTAAATTCTGTCTGAATTTCTGGGATGAGGAGTTATTATTTATGCTATATGTGTACTATTGTCCTCGTGTTTGTTGTTATCATGTTTTGGCCATTGTGCCCTGACCTTCATCAGCTACATGCAGATCTACTAGAAATTCCAAACTGAACCCTTTATTTAATCTACAGAGGTGGGCTGTTGTTGTCCCACTGACTATGTATCATCTAGTTCTTATTTTAGTACTGCTTGCCCTGTTTCTACAGAGTCCAAGTACACAATTCCCAGCCCGAGGATTGTACTCCCAATTACTGTGATCAAATTCAATTCTCTGTGGAGAACTTACTTAAACATAACATGCCTGCTGACGAGTGATGTTGCTGCTTGTCATGCTTGGCTGTACTTGCTGAAACTTTTTTGTTACAGCTGCTGCTGCTGTTAAAGTCTTGCTGTCATTTGTCTTTCTTTATTAGCAGCTCCCATATCATTATTTCTATGCTAAGCTTACTAAGGAGGTCTTCATAGCCTAGCATATTCTTTCAGACGTCTAACTATCCAGTATTCTTTCTTGGCCACTTTATTCCAGAGGGGCTGATGACTTATTTCCATACATGATCAGCCATGACTGATTTCACTGCCTCACCCCTTTATATTCTTTGCCACAACTGAAAGGAATGAAATACATGGAATTCTTGGTTATGTTCTTCCTTGTGCCAGGCTTTACTAGGCAGAGATTAGTTATTCTGAAGGTTATGCTTGATGCAGATCATTTTATCTTAGTATGTGTCTGGGTCACATGATTTGCCTGTAAGTACCTGGATCAACATACACCTGATGAAGACTGGAGGGTACAACAGCTGAAACATGACAATAACAATGATGAGGACAATAGTCCACATGTAAATAATTATATGCAATAATTTATTAAGCCCAAATGTACAGCATTTGATGGCATATAACACACTTCACATTTAATATTACAGAATTAGGTTACCTACAAGCACAGGTAGTCTACAGTGTCTGGGTAAACACTAGCCTATCAGATACCTCATTTTGTATACAAATCCCAAGTGGGGAAAAAAAAAAAAAAAAAGTAGAAGGTACACACCTTCAAACCATCTTTTCTAATGAATTTCTCTATCTCCAGAAATTTTTGGGATGATTAACAATGTACTTGTTTAATATTACAAAAAGGTTATATTGCTTCAGTTATTTAAATCTTAACTGTTTATCAGGTACACAATCCTGAAGGAAGACAAGAACTTGAATAAAGCAGTTGACTAAATAGAACTGATAAACATACAGCTAATAATTATGGTGGCAAAGAATTAATTCAAAACCTATGAATAACAACTAATAATTTAAATAATTGCCTATTATTTAGGTACTTCCACTAATTCATGATAGCTATAGTTTAAAATGAATTTTTCTAAACAAAAAATCTTTCTTGAAGTTTTAGTTTTAATTTCAAGTTAATAGCTTAAATTTAATATTTGCAATAAGTAAAATACTTGACTATTTCAAAACTAACTTAAAAAGGAAGCAGTTTTTTTTGCTCAAAAATGTGGATTTAGTTCCATTTTAGTCTGCATTTACTGCAATGTAATTCTTTATTAAAAACATCTTCCAAAAATAAAATATACCTTCTGAAACTTTATTTGAGGAATATTAACTGATTCAAAGTATAAGTAATCTGATTTTAAACAAATATTATTTACTTTACAGTACACTTATCACAGAAAGGCATTTTTTTTATCAACAGTAGTTGTTTATATAAGATGTTTGCAGGTATGACAAATTGTTATTTATCTACTGTCGTTTTATGAGGGCTTTAGGTGTTAAAAAAAATTGAATTAACATGAGTGCCTTTTATATGTAATTTTTAAGCACTCGGTAATCTTAAAAATTTAAGAAAATATTCTCCATAATCTAATGTTTTATTGAATTTTAAATATTTTTGGCTGTAAATTTACTATAGTTATATCACTCTTATTTGTCTGCTTGTCCATATATAAAAAATAAAAAAAAAATCAGCACATTTATACACATAAAATTTTTTATTAATTTTTGTAAAGTATTGATGTTTGATTTGTACAGAGGTTGTCCATTTATGATTAGTAAATATAGTTTTTACTTAATATCTAAAAGGATGGAATCAATACAGAATTTTAGAAGATTTAAAAACTTAAATTCTTCTAATTAAAATTTTTTTTAAATTCTAAAAATCCATTATTCATGGAAAAAATTTTTTTCTTAATACAGTAGTGTATTTAATATATCTTATTTATAAATGCAATTAAAAGCTTTTCCAATTTAATAATGCGACACTAAAATTTCCTAGTCTTTTGTGACACCACTGACGCGCAAAAAAAAAAAAAAAAAAAAAAAATTAAAGAAAATTTTGAATGTGCTAGAAATTATTAAAAAATTTAATAAAATAATACTTTGGTCTTCCCTCTTAATGATAAATATTATTTTGACAATAAAACTTTTTATCAAATTTATGTCCTTTTCCCCATCATGGCATGCTGTTTTTTTCAGTGAATTATTGGCAGTACCTGCTATTGCACTAGACCTGGCTTCAATAAACAATTCAATTGTAATTAAGTCGAATATATTTAACAGATGATAAAGTAGTAACAATATTTCAACTATAGTTACTCGATTGTGCAATGAGGCCTAAGGTGTACTTATCACTTATCAAAATACTGTGACGGGATTGCATCCCTATTTTAGTCAACAGATATTTTGTTTTTTATTATTGAAGTTGTTATCTATCGCCAGGATTGTGTGCTCGGTAAATGCGAAGTATTTTCTTAAATATTGAAGAACTCAATTACTCCTCCAGAATCAATAGTTAAATTAAGATTTTGAGTGAAATAATTATCAGTGAATTAAGCACGTGCTAAATGGCCAATCAGCATATGGTTAGAACATGCTATCAGCACATGGTTAGAATAAGTAAATCACAGAAAGAATGTCATTATGTAACTTTCCACTTACAAGCACACCTAGCTGATACATTGGCAGCTCTCCAAAATCTAATATTGAAAGCGGCATGCTCGCATCTCGAATGTACAACGTGGCAGCAGAAGCATGCCAACTATTACACTTCACGCCAAGTGGTCGAAACCCAAATGTACGCATGCGACACCACCCCACCTATAAAACCCCCTGCATCAGTCTATCCCACTAGAAATAACTTAATTACAAACTTGAAAAACAGCCCTATTCATATAAACTGACAAGCAATAAGTTAACAGAACTTATATGAACACCAAAAAAAGATGGTATTAAAAACAAATAGGAAAATGGCTCTTCGTGAAAGTAAAAGTACAACAATCCAAAACGTGTGCCCAAATCAAGAGATCTTGAAGCACATTCTTCAGTTTAGCTTTGAATTCTCGTGTTTTACTAATGCTAAAGGGACCCAGACTACTATACTATTTCACTTCTAGCTAGATCGAGCCATGTCTTTCCCAAAGTGAAGGCAAACGACCTGGGCTTCAATTTGAATTGAGATCACACTATTCCATTTTCTGTGCCGATGAGTATTTTTTTTTTCAACCACAACTTCATTGCAAACACGAAAAAATAATGGTAGCCTTCACCAGCTCTAGTTTGCAAATCCAGCAAATAATCTACTTCAAATTATATTTTTAGTTTCCTATACCCCTTTTTTTAAGGGTTCTGGGTGACAGGATTACTTAGGGAATTACTGAACAAAATACTATCCAGTATTTCAAAGTTTTCGTTTTTTTTTTTTAAACTTCCTTTATCGGAGTGCCCATTAATTTAAACAGTAAATACGATCAGTTCTTTGAAAAGACTAATTATAATTAAGTCTTGTCATGAAACAATCAACGAAACAAAGTAACAACGTGATTGCTATTTCCTCCTCCTGTCTCGCAAAATCACCAGTAATCAATTATTTTTTTAATTTAACGATCGTTCTTTACTAAGTGAAATTAAGTTAAAGAAGTTAAAGAAATTAAAATAAAATTAAAAATAAAATAAATAAAAAACTGAAATCCTCAATTTGTTTTATTCTAATTCTTTTACAATTTTGTAAATAAAAATTAACTTTAAAAATTGAAAGAAAATAAAAAGTTCAAGTTAATTCATAATTTACATCGGAAATTCATTTTTTCCAATGACTATATTTTTCGAAGTATATACATATCTCTAAAGTTTAAAATGATTGCAAAAAAAGTTTTTGTAATCATTTTTTTTTTAAACTTTAGATGTCTTTTTTACTGCGTATTTTTTAAATATAAGCGGTAAAAAAGACTTATCCATACACGTGGAGGTATGTAAGTTATAATCTCTGAATCATCTACTTTAAACTAAGTTGTAAAAAGTAAAAACTTATTCCATTCTCTGAAAGATTAAGTTTTTTTCGAATCGTTGCTTTTTCAGTTTTATAACAAAAACAAAAAAAAAAGCCTGAAAAAATTACGGTCTTTGTGTTAAAAAAGAAAAAGAAATTGGGTACCACGTGTTCGTTTTTACTTTAATTTTCCTAAAGACTTGTTATCTAATAGTCTATCATTGAGAAAAAATTATAAAGTTACATAACTTTAAAATCAGTTTTCAATTAAACCACATTAGGATATCACAACGAAAAAAACTGCATAAAGGCGGCTGGCATTTTTTTTTTTTTTAAATGAACATTTTTTTAAAAGAAATAGCACAGAAACTAAAAGATCTCGTCACTCACTATTCAGACTCCGTTTGTTCAGCAATCATTTTTTCTTCATTTTCTTTTATCTGCGTATAACTGCAGAACTGATACGAAGACATGCTGCCAGATTAGGTGAGTTTCCGAGAGATAAGCCAGCCGTATATCGTACAAACCAGAAAAGACTCATGAAACAGGCGTATTGTTTTAAAATAAAAGTTCAAATTAAGTAAGACGCTATCGTTTTTTTTATTTTATTTTTGTTCTCCTCCTCCCCTCCCCACCCCACCCGGAAAGTTTCTTATTCAAAAAAATAAATAAATAAAAATAAGAGGAGGGGGCGCCTTTATTTAAAAAATTAAAATGAAACACAAATAGGAAATAAAGTCATTAATTTGTTTACTTACTTGTATGTAAGTCCGTCTCCATTGCCGAATAACTGTGCCCCAGTCAGACCATCATCGGGCACATAGCCGGTCCCACCAGTGATCAGGTAGTCGGCCATGCTGCAATACAAAAAACGGGCGATTGGTGTTGTGATATATACAGGATTATTCTTTTTACTTGGATGCAGGTCAAAAAAAAAATCGTTCACCCTCCTACAATAAATATGAGATCCAAACACTGACGTATGATAAGTGTTAATGATGAGGGCCGTAAGTTGATGTGAAGGTTTGCATGAATGGCGGGATACCTTTATGCCGAGTGTTCTTAGAGGTACCCTTACTTGGGAGAGTAAGAAACGCCCAAAGGAAAAAGAGGCAGGCACGACAAGGCCACATTTGTTGCTAATGTGACTTCTCGTCTTACTGCTACTACCTATGATTGTAGAAAGAGCAGCAGCTAAAAAGTTATTCTTATGATTAACGGGTTGAAAAGCTGATTGAGGCTGTAAGAAAAGAACGTCGGCGGCTTTTTTTGAGTAAAAACGATGCCAGAATCTGTACATCGTCAGCAGAGGTTACTTCCTCAGACGAAAAAAGACGATACGTGAGAAAGAGATAGAGATGTGAACGTTTCCCCCCCGATTCAGGCAGAAGAAAATCTAATATCATATGTAATAAGCCGAATACAAAAATACATTTGTTGATTATACTACAAAAAAGGTAATAGTTTCTATTTTAGTGACCAATTTAAAAAAAAAAAAAAAAAAATTATACTTTTTAACTTAAGTTTTTCGGATTAGAAAAAAATATGGCATCTGCAAAACTTCTGAAATTTAGCAAAAAAATGATCTTTAAGTAGTAGGGAATTGTGAAAAAAAATAGCGAACAGTAGTTCATTTTAGCTTCAAGGTCTTTTTTTTTTAACAAACATATGCGCGCCTTATTTATCTCCCTTGAATGGCACCAAATCCTTTTTTGAGTCTTGAGAGTTCTGACCTATCTACACCAGAAATAAAATGGAAAAATATCACACGAAATGCAATATAATTTATTTTAACTATCATTAGTAAAGTTTATTTTTCGTAAATATTTTTTTTTGTTTGAGGATCTACAAAAAAAGGTCAGTTCTCTGGAGGTAGAATGGTCAGAAAATTGTGATTTGGGTTGGGGAAAGGAAAACTTGTCACAAAAGACCCCTAAACAAGAATGGCAGCAATACACAGGACTTAAACACTAATTTACGAAAGAAAAAAAAAAAAAAGCTTAAAAATTGGCGCTAAAAGATCAAATTAAAAAAAAAAAAAACAACAAAGCCAATTAAACTTTATTCAAAATATTTTATAAAATTTTTATGGGGACGAAAGGATACGAAAACTGAACCCCTAGGTTACCTAGTCTAGGTAAGAGCTTCTCTTTAAAAGAAAACAAAAAACTTATAAGCACAAGAGACGTGCAAAAAATTTATTTTGTTGGTGGCTGTCAATAACTACAGTTCATCTGCTTCCCGCCAAATGTAAAGAAGCATTATGACGAGAGAGCCGCATACATAAAGGCTTCAAGGACAATAAAAGAAATGACGAACAAGAAAATAAATTAATACTACATGAATGAGAATAATTGTTCAATGACTATAAATTCCAACGATAACATTTCTTTTAAGTTTTAATGTGTACACTTGCAAGAACATGTAAAAAAAAAAAAAAAAAAAAGAATAGCACAAAATAAAATATACAACCAATTTTCAATTACTACAAAATTCCTTTATTTTTGTAGAAATGCAGATTATTTGACAAATTAATTGACTGAAATAGCAAATAAGAGGGAAGTTTTGTCACTTGTCCAATGCACACAATAAAAGTTAATGAACATGACTTACTTAATTATTGTAAGTTTCCATAATTTTTTTTTTTTTTTTACAAACAATTAAAAATGTGACTTCTGGTGGCAATCAATATGCAAACTCCCTCAGTAGAGATAGCAATGTTTTAATTTACATTACAGTACGTCTGAGATTGAAAAAAGAGAATTATGTTGCGTTAAAAGTTTTAAATACCAGCTAGCGGTGACGTCATGGTTTCCAAAAGCAACTTCAGTTGTAAAACATGACTCTCTCTTTGAATAGGGCACAGAAAAGGTTTGAGTTTCCAGAGAACAAACGTCAACCAGCATGGTAGAGTTACAACAACAATCCGAAACTCCTTTGATAAATTACAAAATAAATTAGTAAGTACAACTATACCTACCGAATTAAGCTTATCTCTAAGAAAAATATTTAAAAACTTCAGTCACACTGAATCAAGGACACTATACACCAAGTATTCTGTGGTTATCTAATTAAATTAATCGTTATTTATTATTTACAACATCTTTATTATAATTCCATTACTTCGTGTATCGTTTTATCACAAAAAAGAAAAACGATATACAAAACTTTTGTGCATACTATCCACAGAGTACCACGGGTCAGATTTAAAGAAATGATCACTTTTTCTTTACAATAGAGAATTTGAAAAAATGTCTACTCGTTTTTATTTCTGAAACTGGTGAATTTAAATATCAGTTTTTACTTTTTATTTACGGAAAATGCATTTCGGCCATTATTAATTCTTCATTTATTTTAAACGCATGATTTCATCTGGACTGTTTCAGAAGGAGTCTTCTTGTTCAAGAAATTTGTGAAGAGAGAATCAATATCTGGTTCCCGGAAAATTCGGTAATTTTCACAAGGTAGGAAAATACGGTAACTATGAAAAAAAAAAATACAAGAACTTAAATAAATCAATTTTATGGTAAATTTTCTTTTTAAGCCCCGCGCTAAATATCTTAAAATTTTCCCAAATCGTCATATTTCCGTGTAAATGTACGCGCTGAACTCGAAATAATTACATTTTGAAAACCTGCAGACTCAGTCGCGTTCAGCCGCCAGATAACTACATTCACTGCGGAACATTTTGCGTGCGGAAACTTAATTAACGGCCTTTTTACTGCTCTTAAACAGAGCTGATCTTACTCGTCTAAACTACTGCGCACTTAAATTGTGCCGGAAAGCGGTGACAAGTGTTTTTTTTTTATATAGTATACCCCTTTTTCTATGTAGAAATACAATGACAACTGTTGTAAAGCTTTTTTTAAATTAAAAATAATTAATGCGCAAAGTTTGCATGAACTTTGAAAAGAGCATGATTATTTACAAAATAATTTAAAAGAAAATCTTTAGTTTTTTTTTATTAATTTAAAAAGAAAGATTTACTATAAAAAAAAACAACACTTGACATCGCTTTCCAACACAACTTGAGTGCACAGTAATTTAGACGAGCAAGATCAGCTGTGTAAGAGCAGTAAAAAGGCTGTTAATTATGTTTCCGCGCGAAAAATGTTCCGCAGTGAATGTAATTATACAAGGCTAGTAACAGCTGAATGCGAACGAATCCGAATTACACGGAAATATGACGATTTGGAAAAATTTGAATAGATATTTAACGCGGGACTTAAAAAGTAAATTTACCGTTTTTTTTTTTTGTTGTTTTTTTTGTTTTTATAGTAAACTAAAGCTTTTCTTTTAAATTAAAAATAATTAATGTACAAAGTTTGCATGAACTTTGTAAAGAGCATGAGTATCTACAAAATAAAAAAATGAATGCTAGAAACGAAATAATTAATGCGCAAACTTTGTAAAGTGCATGATTTTTTATTTATGAAATAAAAATGCTAGGAAGGAGCATTTCTTTTTATTTTGTAAATAATCATGCTCTTTTCAAAGTTCATGCAAACTTTGCACATTAATTATTATTTGTTTTATTTTTAATTTAAAAGAAAAGCTTTACAAGTTGTCATTGCTTCTCTATACAGAAAAAGGGGTATACTATAAAAAACACAAAAAAAAACCACTTGTCATCGCTTTCCAACAACTTAAGTGCGCAGTAATTTAGACGAGTAAGAGCAGTAAAAAGGCCATTAATTAACTTTCTGTGCGCAAAATGTTCCGCAGTGAATGTAGTTATACAAGGCCAAATGGCTGAACACGACCGAGTCCGAACCTCTATTGTTGATAATTCCAAAACGGTAGGTTTTTTTCAAAATTTAATTGTGATTTCGAGTTCAGCATGTACATTTACACGGAAATATGACAATTTGGGAAAATTTTAATAAATATTTAACACAGGGCTTAAAAAGCAAATTTACTAATTTTATTTCCTTGAAGAAAACACTATAGTAATTAAATAATAGTAATAAAAAAAAAATATTGAATGAGTGAAGCATTTGTTATCTATGTTTAAAACAATTTTCTTTCTTTCCAATAGTTTACTTTAAGAATATAATTTTTTTTTATTCTATACACTTTTTATTATTAAACTTAATATAATGAATAATTTTATTTTTTTATAGTAATTGAACAAGAGATATAAAGTTTAAATTAAATATCAGAATGCTCCTAATATAGAATAGTACCAAGTCAGATATCAGATTTATTTTCCTTTTTATATATCCATACTAAAAATAATTCAAATCTTTCAAACCAAAACTTTGGAACAATTTAAACTACTTGAACAACAAATATTTGTACCTTTATTGTGTTTTATAAATGTTTATTAACCCAATACATTGTTTTTATATTATTTCTTTTGTTGTTTACTCATTTTGTTGCATTTGTGAATTAAAATACATAGGGATTTTAACATATCCGCATTCAATCCCTACAATGTAAAGGCCCAGCCCAGGATTCTTAAAGTGTGATAACCCTAACAAGATATGGAGATAGTTGACCAGAGGAAAGAACTGGTAAATTTGTGATTGTATGGACCTGGCACGGAAAAATTTGTTGATGATAAATTCAAATGATAATTCTAATTAATGACCAGAGGCTAAGCCCAACCCTTTCACCTACAAGGTTTATAAATCAGATTTGTCAAAATGACAACCAAGGTGAAAGGTATATAGGAGTGATGCCAAGAAGGATGGAGGAATTGCTTAAGCATTGTAACCTAGGAAAAGGTTACTGAATAAGATTAATCAAAACAAAGTTTGGAAATGTAATGATAATATTTATAACGGGAACAACATACAAGATTCATCAGTGGCATGTAGTAAGTAATCAACTGCTAGTGGTGAGCTACAAGTGA